CCGTCGTTGTTGGGTGGTTTTTCGAGGGTTAACTGCACTTGCGGGCCTCGGCCTCCCCCGGGGAGGGGAGGAGGGGGGGAGGCGGAGAGATGCATAGTATAGAATTATCTAATGCTGAGGCTGACTCTCATGGCTCCCGAAAGTTGGCCACGGAACGTATTTTTTTTTCAATTTTCGTGGCATGTCCATCTTATGGGCACGGATGCGGCGGGTTTAGGGACCAAAAAAAATTATTTTGGAACATCTGGGCCGAGGGCCCAACGATAGTTGGGCATATATTTCGTATGGGAATCGGGCCCGGATGTTGCCGACGGATCGTTCGTTTTTATCGAACACACCGAAATCGCGGGGTCACACCGCATCCATCCCGAGCGGCACCCGAGCGTGGCGTGTGTGTGCACGAGCTTTCCAGCACCCAGCACAGACTGGACCGGGTGCGCGATGGAGCACGCGAGTGCGGCCGACGACAGCGGCAGCGACGACGAACAACATGCCCACCTACTTGTTCTTCTTGCAGCAGCGAAGCGGAGACGTCGCGAGCGGCAACGCTCTGTGCTTACCGTGGCGACCTGGCGAGTTGTCCTGCGGTCCTTCCCGGATGGCGACGAGTTGGAGGACGAAGGGCTTGGCGGTGGCTCCCCCGTGAAGCGTACCCGCCGAGTTTTTCCACGGCCAAACTACCGCGCCTCGTTTTGGTGGCGCATGCTGGGCGAGACGGGCCTCAAGGAACCAGCGTCAAGAGAGGCCAAGCTTTTTCGGAGGCGCTTCCGCACCCCTCACCAGTCAGTTCTTCACCGAGCTCATGGAGCTGATCAAGAAGAAGAAGTGGTTCCCCATGCACAAGAAAGATGTGGCCGGGTGCATGTGCATCCCAGCCGAGCTGAAGGTGATGTATTATTGAGACGTGCCGATTCCAAAACTGGCATGCATACATCCATCCAGACTCTTAGACTATATGCATATTTGTGTGCACACGGAGAACAAGGACAATGTATGGTCTACACACGCACGCACGTAGTATGTGATATACAGAGTGGCGCGACTGGGTGTCGTAGGAGAGCAAGGGCAACATAAGTATGGTCTACACATAGTCTACATCCATGAACGAATTGTGCAGCAGTACAAAGTCGCACCGTAGACCGCAGGGCTTGTGCCAAAGATGAGAAAAACGTGGTGTAGTCTACACCTAGAAGCTGCTGCAGGTAGATTTTATTCTCGCCAACCCCCGTCATGCTATTTTCTACGTCTATCGCCAGGGCTGCTGCTGCAAGAAGATACGCTGTGTTGCTCATGCCCCTTCCGGTATGCCATGTTCTTTAAGTAGTCGAAAATGCAGCGCCGCGAATAACCTGACAACCGACGATCAATTCCCGCCGACCGTACACAGCGCACGACGTCTATGTGCACAGGTCTTGCCATCCCTGCATATCTTGCGTAGGGGAAACTTCTTCGAGGACATGAGCCAGGCTTCACACATGAGTGAGGGCGTTATTCAGGCTAGCTTTCACAAGTTCACGAAGCTGTTCGCCCAGGAGTTTTATCACGATCACGTGTGTATGTCCAATGGCGAGGACCAGAGCAAGTTGACCTACACTTCATGAAATGTCTGCCGCACTTTTTTTATTCGTGCGACCACACTTGGTCTAGTGGGTAACCTCGCAGCCTGCTAAGGGTCAGGTCATGGGTTCGAGTCCCGGCAGAGTGCATTTTTTTCTCACTAAAGATATCCTGGTCTAGGATGAACGCGACGCGCTTCAAGGCTCGTTGTTAGTAAACCATAATCGACTTCGTAAGTCGCGAGGGAAGGGATTACTGTACCCTTCTCGCGATAAAAATACCTCAGGCAGGAACCGCAGGAGGGGGTCCAGCCCCTCCCTCCTATGTGACCCCGGTTGGGTCGTCTAGCTAGTAGAAGTGGAGGATAGGGGCCAGAGGGGCAGACGACAGAGTCCAATGATGGGAGAAAAACAAAAATAATGCTTTCCGCTGTATCCTTTGAAGACCATTCCGCCCGTATTTCCTTGCGCAACCGGTCACCCCGGTGGTCTAGTGGTATCCTCGCAAACCGCTAGTCACAGAGGTCGTGCTAGACGCAGAGGTCTTGACTTCGAATCCCCATGGGGTGAAAATTTTTAAAGTTTGCGGGTGAAAGGGAAATATGGCTGAAAAGCTCTCGTGAGTGCCAACTTCGACGTTAGCACAGTTGACGAGGAAAGGGACGGCTGGTCCTTCTTGCGATAGAAACAAAATTCAGCACGCAACGCAGGAAGAAGGTGGGGCATTTTGACAAAATACTTGAAAGAAGTAAGCCCTGGGGTTTACCCCCTCCGGTGTGACCCTGGATAGTTGTAGTTGTACGAAAGAATACGCTGAAATGTGTAGTACTCTAGTTACATGCGCTGAAAAGTGCAGTACACGTCTCACCACGAAGAATGGAGGGACTGTCGCCATAATAAATAGGACGAAAACATAAACAAAGTAAACATGTTTTCTGTGTATTCTCTTGACAGGCGCCGGTCAATATTGATTCGTCCATCCTGTCTACACTCAAAAAACGTGCGTATGTATGCGTCCCGCGTGTTCGGTTAGAGCGTGTTTGATTGAAAGGCACAATGTGCGAGATTGAAAAACACAAACCTNAGTGCAGTACACGTCTCACCACGAAGAATGGAGGGACTGTCGCCATAATAAATAGGACGAAAACATAAACAAAGTAAACATGTTTTCTGTGTATTCTCTTGACAGGCGCCGGTCAATATTGATTCGTCCATCCTGTCTACACTCAAAAAACGTGCGTATGTATGCGTCCCGCGTGTTCGGTTAGAGCGTGTTTGATTGAAAGGCACAATGTGCGAGATTGAAAAACACAAACCTCTAGCAAGCAATAAGAATGGTCTCAAACGATGCGCTCGCACGGCCGAGCACGCTTATCGCAATGCGTAATGGNAGCAAACAATAAGAATGGTGTCAAACGATGAGCTCGCACGGCCGAGCACGTTGGTCGCAATGCGTGATGTTCTCATGTTGGTTTAGCTGCACGCAAGCTTTGCTTGCAACGACGAAGTTGTTACTGCTTTGTTTGGTGCCCCACAAAACACACGACGTCTTCCCGGATCGATATAAACATTATCAGGTGATGGAGGCGTATGATCTCCTGGGGTTCACGGGAGCGATAGGGTCAACCGACGTCACCCATATCCGGTGGGCGTGCTGCCCCTATTCTTGGGCAAGGCAGTACACGGGGAAGGAAGGGTTCCCGAGTATCGCGTACCAGGCGATCGTAAATGACACCGGACTTGTCCTTGCCGTTACGAAGGGCTTCGCCGGTGCCATGAACGACAAGACCATCATCCGGTACGACACGGCAGTGGCGAAGATCCGCCGTGACCCTGTCTACACGGAGAAGGTGTACACGCTCTTCGACAAGAACGGCCAACCTTTCGAGCGCGAAGGAAACAACAGCATTGTGGACAACGGGTACAACAAGGTGAGGGCGGTTTGTGAATTCTGTGATTGTCCGGCTCGTGCCGTTTCCAGCGTGGTGTGGGCATGTTCCACAATTGCGATTTGTATGGACCGTCTGCTGAATCTTCCGAGCAAGTTTGGCACCCCCAATGTGTGTGTTGATAGCACGTCAATGCCTCAGACGAGCCTCCGTGTGCCCCCCCCTCCCTCGTATGGGTGGAGCCTCCTTTTTTTTCTTTTTTTTCAAGGATTTACTCGGTAAAATACCGCCAGTAGGCGGTATTGGCCCTCCCATCGCGAAGAAAAGTCGAAAGAAAAAAGGCTGGGTGCAAAAGTTTTTTTTCTGCAAGAGGCGTCAGTTTCAGCGTCGACCATCTTTCGGGGGGTGCCTCAATCGCAACAGGTCTGTCGCGGAGTAGCCCGAGCTTCGTTTGAGAAATTTTAGACGTGCTTTTCCGCCGTAAACTTTTAACCCTTGCGGGGAAGAAGTCGCCGCGAAACGCCACGTCAAAAAACAAAAGATGGAAGGAAGCTCAGGCTACTCTGCCACCGACCTGTTGCTACTGAGGCACCCCCGAGAACCGACGCCCCCCACACACACCACCACAGGGAGATCAAACACGACCATCAAGTTTGGTGTTGAATTATCAGCGGCGCTTTCCCCCTGGTGTTATTTTCCTTTCTGCTCGGGCAAACAGCGTGGCAGACCCCACCTCTGCAGTGGGACGGTTAAAGTTACGGTATCATCACGGTTTGGTCAACCGCTGTTTTCCGGACGTAGCAGCAACACCCGTCCGACGTATGTCGCCCCCGAATTGAATGGCTACTGTAGCTTGTATTCTGATGTTTTCTGTTGTCGAAGGCGTCAAGGGTTTTGGTAGGAGCACCCCCAACCGTTCCGCCGAGAACCGTGCGTGTGCCTCCTGTGGTCTAAAAAGTGCGGGTGCTGGTATATGTCTGTGAATATGGCCTTCTCCCCCCCCCCC